CTTTTGCGTAAAACTAAAATTCATGCCAATATTTTTCCATGATTTATAATAATTGGAGTAATGCAAATGCATATTTTCTAAAAAAAAAGTCATTTTTAGTGAAATTTTGCCGGGAATGGGGCTTTAAATATTGGTATCATTACATTAAAAAAAAACCAATCAAATACTAGATACATTGATCTACGATCTAGCTAAATGTTTTCGTTTCAATATGGACTCGTTTTTTCAGTCCATCTATCCATCAGTCTCCATTAAGTTAACATGGTTTTCAGTTTTCGAATTTTCATGAGCTATATACAAGCAAAGAGTATAAAACTGCAAGAGGTCCGACTGCCCTTATTTTGAATACAGGCAATGGAACGTTAAAAAGTACTCCCATGAAGGGGCGTGTCCTTCATAAGAACGTAAAAGGCGTTCGTATCGAACGCGTGCTGCGTTTCGAATTCCAGCATACATTCTATAGACGCGCAGCACGCGTTCGATATGAACGCATTTTACGTTCTTTGGTTCTTTTAAAGGTAGTACTTTTTGAAATAGGATTGCGTTCCAAAGAATCCCCGGCAGTCGGACCTCTTGCAGTTTTATACTCTTTGAAACAAGTCTCCTTCCAATTAATGACCACCTTTGAGACCGGTATTTTAGTGGTCTTTGGCAGTTTTGGTCTCTAATTAAAATCCAACTAATTATAGACCGGAACTAAAATGGTATTTAAATGCTCTGTTTAGAGGGAAATTAAGAAATGATGTAGTAGGCCTAAATGTAATAATTATTGTTTTATTCCAAGTGCTTTAGATTTGATTTACAGTTAGTTACTCTATGCTGTTATTGATTCTTAATATACCCTTTCTCGTTCTACGCAATCACCATTACAATATTAGCCTAATAACAACAAATTTATCGTCATACTAAAACTCAGTACCGTACTTTCACGCGAATAAGTGCCCCGTTTGAATAAGCGTCCCTCTTGAATAAACGCCTAAACAAATTCAATCATACAGTACAGTCGTACATCACCAACTTAATTTTCTGTATCAACTATTCGCATCTATCTTAGCATTGTCGGTCGGTCAGTCTATCTATCCATCTGTCGGTCTATCAGTCTCCATTAAGTTTAACATGGTTTTCAGTTTCGATGCATATTCAGCATCCCTTCTTGTTTTATTGCTACCCTTTTACAACTACAGTATTTAATATCTAAAAAATAAAATACTGTATGGTCATTTTCAGTCAACAAAAATAAACTGACCTCATCACTCTCGAAGTGGAGTTGAATAGCTCAGTGGTTAAGGTGCTTGCCCAATTCCTGTCACAGCAGGACTTTTTCTCACGACAAAAACCAACTCCACTCCCTAAGCCTCGTAAAGAGACTGCTGATAATAGCATCCATTTCTTCATTTATTTTAAGAGGGCCCCTGAATGTCAGCCGACCTTGTTGGATACGCTGGAAGGGTCACCCTCTATAAATATGGTTTAAAAAAATAAATAAATAAAAAAAATAGCAGATGGCCAACACGCTTACCACCCGCCCACCAACACCACCACTAATTTTACCTGCTGTAAATACCCCCAACAGTCTTGTCATGAGCCATGCTCTCTCGAAGATTACCTTTTCTTCACCAAAACCATTCGTTTATTAAATTCGAAATTTTCCAATTTCCCATAAGCACCCCTTTTATTCCATATACACAAAACACTGTAAACACCCCAAATACTCAACCGTTATGGGGTGGTGGCCAGTTCCAATCTGGTGTTCGTATTTATTAGCCTTGGTTTTTCAACATCAATATAGGCCCTGTTTCGTCAAAATGAGGGAAATGACAGGGGAGGATTTAGTGGGGGGGGGGGGTGTGGGGGGGGGGGGGGGGGCGGCCCGGCTCCGCCCCTAACCCATTAAGGAGGTAAAATAAAAGAAAGAAAAGGAAATGATAGCCCAGAACGCCTCAAATGTTATTTTCGGGCGTCTAGAACACTAGAACGCAAAAATTTCGAGGGGGCAATGAATGGAAAAAAAAACTTGTACCCCAGGTTAATTCTCCTACTCTGCCACTAGAAATTTTCTGAGGACAAACAAATCCACTCATGTAATATTTTATAGTTACACACAATGTCAGAGCCAGAAATTCCCCGACGAGACACGGACACCCCCAAATAAGCCATATATACCCCAGCCTACCATGTTTAGGGCGGAGTTGAACAAATCTTAAAAAACAGACACTTTTAGATTCCCGGCGGAAATGCCACTTTGAGACTGTAAAAATACGTTTTTAAAGAAGTGTTTTCAACAGAATGACATGCCCAGAGCCGGCTGCGATTTTTTTTTCCGTACAAACATTTGCATGAAACTTCACTCGGGCCATCTCGGATTGACTCGAGTGAGTACGATACGAGGAACAAGTGCAGACACTTCGCAATGTCGTGACGCTCGAGTTTTACTATTATTGCTCTTTCTATGTTTACCTACGGTAGGCCTATGAAATTACACGGACTTATGTGATGTACGTCACTGTGTAACTAACTGTGACCTTCTTGGATGGGATGAACAACAGCTAGTACCTCCTGTTATAAAGTGTAGATAGGTACAGTTATACCAAAGGCTAGAGAGAAAGAGGATAAACTATAGGCCTAACTACAGGCTCAGAGGTCTTACCTAGGCCTCTCCTTAAACTAGGCCTAGGGTCATAGTCTGACACAACAGTCACGCTTCACATACTGACATGGACTGAAATTTGGGGGAAATGGGACAAAAGTTTCATGTAAATGTTTCGTACGGAAAAAAAATTCGCGAGCCGGCTCCCAGGATCTGCCTTTGGCGCCACCAATGGTTAGACATCGCATGTTATCAGCACCCCCATTTAATCCTTTATTCCCAACAGCCCCTCTACATGCTAATACTCTACACCACTAGATACGGTGGGCTCTAGACTAGACTCTTCAGTGGCGTATCCAGGGGGTAATACGCGGGGTGCCTGAGCACACCCTTCAGAGGTTCTCTGAAATTTCGCTGTTCAGACAACAAAAACACTCTTGATGTCTTGTTAGAAAACGTCTGCAGGTGATACTTTCGTTCATATGGACTAATACTAAAATATAAACACGGACAGCTGTTATCAAGCATTATAATTTTTTCTAACCCTTCTACGCACAAAAGCGCCCCGCGTAAATGAACCCGCACGTACAATTAGTTTGGCACCACTCTCAGGAATCACGGGGGCAGCCGGCCCGTCGGCCTGGGGTTGCATCGAATACAACCCCGGGCGACATAAGATTATGTTTTATGTATACCGGGGGTATACACAAAAAATAATCTTATGATGTGCATTCATCTAATATTTCTATGTGTAAGTCATATAAAACATCATTAACTTAAAATTAAATTATTTATTTTATAGTGGTTTATAACTGGAGGAAAATATTCAATTGGGTTCACCAAAACCATGGTCTTTGGTCTCTAGAGAGGGAGTTTTGAATTGGAGGGAACAGCTAATGATAAAAGATATGTAATCAACCGGGGGCCGCAGAAAAGTGGTTGTTAGTGTTCTTTAATTAGATAGAGACCAGTAATTCATATACGCCCTATCTATTGTTGTTTTTGTTATTTCAACGGAAGATACAATGAGTCAAAAATACCTAATTAGTATACGAAAAAGATCTAATTCTAATTCCTTGGCAACTTTTACATTAATAAGTCTATATGCCTAGCTTAGGAACGTTAAAACGTTCCTAAGCTAGGCACATAGACTTGTATTGTTGTCATAGCGTTTCGCTTGATTGAACACATTTTTTTTCTTTAATTAATTTAACAACGAGTATTTTCATAATTTTATTCATTTTTCATTCCAATAGTCTGCTCAATTTCAAACACCATTAAGTGTACACTGCTCAATGTATACTTCCTGCACCTTTGATCGTTTAATTTGAAACTGGCGCGTTAAAAATGTTTGTATATTATTAGAATTTATCGTTTGACATGATGTCACAAAATACAGCCACAGTAGTCAAGCATAAGCGTATTTTATACTCAAGAATAAGAAACCATACACACACAAATACATGAGGACAAGAATTGTAATCAGTCGTTCTATTGTTACTAATGACTAATTACTGCGGCCCTTGTCCGTCTTGTCTTCCTGTAGGCCATAGAAAATATTAATTAGCCCTAACAATTGCTGTGGAGTGGATGTGGCTTGGTGATCATCATTATGTTCATCTTCCAATTCAACCGTCTGGATTGAAATCGTATGTCAGAATTCTGCGTACAGCGGAAAAAATAACTTCTCTAATAATTCTTTCTATGAGGCAGTAAGGCTGGGGAGTAGGTTTAGTTTTCTCCAAGCCTCATTCATAGACAATCGAATTAATTTTTCTACAACCAAAAACCAACACAGTAGAAGTAACAAAGGCATTAGCAACAATTTTTCAAAAATTGTATAAAATTGGAGAAAAAAAGAAAATTATTTTCAAATTTTAAGTCTGAGAGTGCCATTTCCGGCCATCTAGAGGCGCCATGGATAATCGTAAATTTTCTACCTCTCAGCCACAAGCATGGTAGGGCTGAGCTCGTATAGACTCTCCATCTGTCAAAGTCCCTCCCTGGGCCCCGTCTATTTCAAATTCTTGGATCCGCCACTGAACATGAAGAATGGGTGTTATTAGTGATGATGTAAGGTATCGAAAATGTATTAATCATGATAATAAATTATTTGCTTTTACATTATCTTCAGGGTTACATTTCAATGAACTAAAACTACTTTAGCAACAACAAATCATACAAATTATATAAATCGAAATTCATTAAAGCAACATTTATTTCAGAAATTTGATTTACGTTTTAAAGTAAGAGAAATGCGCAATCGACATGCACAATAAGCAGTAATGTGAAACTATTTCAAACGGCATTAATGGCGATACTGAAAAATCTATTGTTTTTTTCAAGAGCGCTAGGATTATCTTATCATTACTGAAGTCTTTACGGTTCCAATTACTTTTTTAAAAAAGCAATTAATAGGCCTACATAGTCCTTCATTTGAAAAGTAATGAGCTCCCGCACACTCGTACTAGTTACCCATCTACAACGGCCAGACATATGCTAAAAAAAACCAATTGTTCAGTATTTGCCGATGAGAACGAAGATACCACATATCAATTTGCCGATGAAAACGAAGATATCATATCAATATTGTATACAATCATGTTATATCATCAAATAATGCTTCTGAATTAATGTTATGACTATGCCATTGGTGTAGGCTAAAGCCTCATTTACACCGGATCCGATTTTTTTAGATCCGAAGGCCTACCGAACCGATCATGAAAATCGAATCGGTGTGTAAGAATAAGGACACAGGCGTTCAGCACATCCAAAACGCTTTTGGAATTTCGGTTTACAAGTGATATTTCAGAGACAGAGAGAGCAGCTATAATGATGTGCTTCAAGTTACAATCTATAGATGGCGCACTTTAGAAAGAATGACAATACATTCCTCAAAGAACGTACCACTGTGACACAGAAAACATAACTAAAATTATTGGTTGTTGCAATAAAATTTACAAGCATGTAATAAATACAATAACAATAATATAATTCGACTTAATAGCTTAAGCGGTGGTATAAAGCTGTAACAAAATACTGTAATTTCAAGTAAATATATAGTATTAAAGAGTTGTAAAATTGTAACACACGTACTTTATGTAAAAGGAAGAAAAGACCAACACAATTTCGTTCAAACTCAGTCTATGATAGATAACACATTTTAACTAGATAAATTAAATCTAGTGAATCATTTTTGTAACAACCACGTTATTTCACAATATATCATGGCAAACGCCATCAGTAACTAAAAGGTTGGTTTTAGGCATATGGTAATTTTATTAGGAAATTACAACCTCCTCAATAACAATATTACTAACCTATATAACTATTTTCTCACAAGCCAGAAAATGATTTACAAAACAGATAACGATTTTTTTCGATGATCTCATCAATTTTCATTTAAATTAACATTTTTATATTGCATTAAAACTACTTAAATATAAAAATAACAAAGAAAATTAAGTTATGTACAGTTGGGTTGACAACACAGTATATTATTATTTAAAAAGAATCAATGCACTTCATTTGCACAATGGTACGACGCCGGAAGGACGTCTTAAGGCCAACTCAGACAGCGTGTACGACGATAAATCAGGTCGGGCTGCGTCGGCCGACGCTGTCTGAGTTGGCCTTTATAAAACTCAACTTTTATTTATTTTTTATATTTAATATAAATTAACAAACACAGGGTAAGAAATGAACCGCATAACTTTCGGTCACAACACCATATGATCGCAAATTCAACATACGTAAATTTTTCTTTAATAGACGAAAGTATATCAGAATATAGAGGAGAATTAAAAAAAATATTTTTAGGATATTGATAATTATAAAATAATCGAAAGCAATCTTAGAAAGATTATGTGACTGACGTAGATTTCAGGACGGAGATTACAATAAGTGTTCATGCTGTAGATACACTGCTTGTGTAAAACGCAAACAAATCAAATTAACACTTTAAATTGCTTCTATGAAAGGTTAAGTTAAAAAGTAAAGTGCAAAAGATAATATCTTCTATCTGTTAATTAATTTCAGAATGTACTTATATATTAGGCTTACAATTGGTTTATTACGCGCGAGAACATGTATTGTTTTTAATTTTTGAAGCTTTTATAACAAATAACTTAAATATCATAGTAAGCTATTTAAATAATTAATTTCATTGTTAATTAACTAAACACAAACAGTATATCAATAACGAAAGGACGGACGCAAGCCTGACGTATTTATCACATCCCAAAGATACAAGATTAAGTACCGCACTTTGATGAAAATACTCAGTAAGGACGAGTAACAAGAAGGGCCACGAATCCTCTGACGTCATACGACGACGATTAACGTGGGACGGATAATTAAAAAAATCATATAAATAAAATCTAAGAATAAATAAATTACTGAATTTAAGCAAAAATTATAAACTAAATAAAAGGAAGATATAAAAGTTTCTGTGATATGTTTTAAATTATTTGTATTTTCTCGTTTCAAAAACAATTAAATATCTAAATTATTTATAGTGCAGATTTATTATTTATCATATATATTAAATATTAAAATGAAATGATTTACAACAGTCTGTCAAGAACAACTAATCACTAGACAGCCAGGGACGGAATATGAGAGACACAAGTCGACGATCTACTGATTCTGCAAATTCTATATGTCGCCCTCTACAGTATATCACTAGCACAGATCAGTCTGAAAAATGTAAGCAAAGAAAACAATAAATTTAAAAGTATTATGGAAAGTACTGAATAAAATATGGCAGAGTAGAGAAAATAGTATCATTATCAAGATCACATGTTTTTTATTTTTGTAAATTTACGTACAGCACCTGTATATGTATATATACATATATATTCGAGTAAATAATTTACTAAATGGGGTTAATAAATTTTTAATCTTATGATTTCATAGAAAATTCGTACCATATAAGTAATCGGTAATTAACGAAACTTGCGGTACAGCATCAGAGTCATTTCAATTAAGATGGTGGCAGCGGCCGAAAAGAGGATGGACTTCATTTAGTTGTTGATGGAGCATGACGTAAGAGCATGCATGATCAAAAAGCGTAACGAAATTGCTTTAAACATCTGGATATTTTTCTGTAACCAGTGGCAACTAATGGTATACTATTGTACAACAATAGATTCATACCTGTGACGTTTTAAATAAATGCGACAATTTTGTTGCGTATCAAGTGATTACTACGGTACTATGCATACATACTACAACGACGTTTTCAAAATTATCTTATTTTTAGGCAAAGTTAAATTTTTTGCCGGAACAATGATGTTTATTTTAAGACAACACGGCGCCAAAACAGTTGCGCGGGGTAGGCCTAATATATTTATCAGATGGAAACTCATTCAATTAGCATGTACTTTGTAGACTATAATCCGAAGAAATCCTGATACGAAATAAATGCATAAACGGAATGGAATTTTTTTAGTAGACAACGTACAATTTCGTTAATTAATCTTTTGGAGTTTTGTGCGACGACAGAAAAAAATTAATTTATATTTTACAGTATATATGGACACAGTTTTAGTTACGAGCCGACGTAATTACGAGCGCATAGGCCATGGGCCTATGCTGGTTTACACCAAAGCCACGACTTCCAGTAATTCACTTTAGGAACACGCATAAAATATATAACGCTGTGGCGTAACGAAGTGTGGGGAAAGGATTCTGACTTACACAACGGCCCTACCCACGTAGGACCCCGGTGTGGGGGTGAATAGACGTTGGTATGCGCTGCTATGCATAACCGCAGTGACGCTTGTTACGGTACTACTTCTACTCCAGATGGCGATTCTTTGCAATCGCATCTGGTGCGCATTCGGTCAACCCCTCCCAGGGGTACTAACACGTCTACTCCAGTACAAAACGACATGGATCAATTTGAGTATATGCAACTTTATGAGCCTCAACGCAGCAATTCAAATAGTACTTTTATTACTTAATTGTTAGAAAATCATGTACTGCAGTTTAACTACAGATAACTAGGTCTCGAGCGTAAACACACAACGAACATTTACAGAATCGCACAACTTTCGGCAATATTTAGGGGCGCTACATAACACCCTAAAGTAAGGTCTTATTTTTAGGTTATGACTGACGGGGTCACGGTGTTGAAAGCCCTAGGGTAGGAATAACGGGATGCTTTACTCCTACTGAACGCCATGGCCTACGGCACTGTGCAGCAGGTGGCGTGGTGTTCAGTTTTGTGCTATACCTATAATCATAAATTATGTTTCAGGACAGCGAATGTTTCCGAATTACTGTAACAGGTAACAGTTATATACGACCGAAAAGGCGTAACGACATGTTTGTAAGAAACCAACTATACGTACTCACTGATCAATAAAAAATATTATTACTATACTGATTGTAACCGTGACGTAAGCTCTGAGAAATAAACTTTAAACGAAACATTTGTGAAACAATCCAATTTTAAGATTGATAGAACCTTAGGTAATTTCACAAATGTGACAAAAATACATTGTCAATCAACAATGAACACGGCAGATCACCCTTTAGCTATAGAGGCCTTGATCTTTCTGTCGGCATCGGCCCCTTGTGTGAACTAGCTACCCTTTAAACGGTCACGGATGGCGAATTAAGTCACCTAGAGATGTCCACAACTGTGCGCAAGCAGTCTCCCACCAGACACGTCAATCACATTAACCCCAAATCACTGTGAATCATCAGGAACAAAACGCTGCAGTTGTAAATTGTTTGTTTGATCGTCTGTATTGTTCTTAACCAACAGATTGAAGTAACAGGTGATACTAGTGTTAAACTGCAAAGCATCATATCTGAACAGAAGCTAGCCCCCGGCTACTAGCTAGGCTACTTCAGTACCATATAAAAAATCTCCCTGGGTAGTTTCCTCTCCAAATACCGCACACGGCAAAAAGTTGACGAGAGTCATGAAGCACAGGCTGCTGTGACGGGCCCGCCCTACTAAAGTACTGTAATCGCACAGTAACCCCGCTGTATTTCCCCAGGTAAACTAGGTACGGTTACATGCTTCTTACCTCTTCACCAAGTTAATGCGATAAGGTAGTTATGTTAACCTGTAGTGTACATACAGCAGCTACTTATAACTTATCTAGAGATTTACTTCGTTCCAATTCTATGTGTCTATCAGAATAAACCAAGTAAAGCGAATAGTAGGCCTATTATTGAATGTTGTTAATCATTCACTTCATTTTGTGAAAAGAAATAAAGTGATGAACTATAAATAATGGATTAATGATATATTAATATTAACGGTAATGATATACAGGGCCTCTACTGTATTTCGTTAGGACAATGATATCCGATGAGTTAATGAGAATGGGGGAATTAGGTCAAAAGACTAGTAGCCTAAATAACGATTAGGGTTACACCTACAGTAGGCCTATTGCCGCAATGTTAGGCACATTCACACCTCTTAAGACATAAGCGGCAAGTACAGTATTGAGATAATTACAGGCCAGTGTTACAACTAATATTTATTCGAGTGAAATCCCGAAGGTCAGTTGCTTGATGAAACGGAAATAGACATTATGCAAAATAATGTACGTGCAAGATATTCTGCGTGTAACAACCACATTCATTTCTGGTTTTTATCAGTGATGTAGCTATTAACACATTGATACACGCTTTTCGATGGTTGACAGTTCTGGAATTAACAGCACCAGCAGACGTGCGAAGTACTTCCGAATGACTCAAGCCCTGCTGAATATCCAAAATGTGGTACGGGCCTCGAAGCTGTCAAGCCCGCCCAGAGGAGTTAAAGAAAGACGCTAAAAATGAACGCAAAGCAGGGAGGAGGGAAGTGGTGATGATAGGTTTTGCGATTACCAGGGGAAGACTTAAGTGCCAGAGTGTACGTGCTCAAAACACTTCTACCACACAAACTAAATCAATCCGAAGCACTGCGGCAGAAATAGTCTGCTTTCGACGAAACTGGCAATCTAAATTCAGCTCGCCAGATTTTCTCCAGTCATTCAACAGGTACAGTAGCAATGATACTGATAATCAGATTTCATCAAGGAACGAATCTAATACAATTACGTTTAAATAAATTATAATCGCTCAATCAATGGTAAACTGATAAGCTAAATAAATAAATCAATCAATCAATCAATCAAAGTATTGGACATTATATTCAAAACACTTAAACGAATATGAACTCTGGTACACTAGGCTTAGAAAAACCTAGCACGAAGACTGGGATAATCTAATTATCAAGCTGGGGTAAGCGATTGCGGTTTGAGGATAGAGTTATTAGTCCTATGCTTCATAAAGTTCAATAGGGCCTACATTGACATCGTCGCCACTGAGAGGAGAAACGAACAAATATAAAAACTCCTATAGGCTGAGCACTAATTCTTCGTTTTCTTAGAACCAGAAAAGGCTTTAATAATAAAAATTCGCCGAAGATAATAATATGAGCCTGGGAAATGCTACTAAAAAGCGGTTTGAATACGTCCTCGAGACACCGACCTAGTGATACAGCATTTTTAAGGAATAAAGTAAAGAATGAAGACCTAAACCAATTTGTTTTCTTAGAATCAGAAAAGGCTTAATAATGAAATTTCGAATATGAGCCTGGGAAATGCTATTATAAAAGCGGTTTGAATACGTCCTCAAATCACCAACCAAGTGATTGGGCAATTTTTAGGCAACGAACAAAATGAAACACCTTTCGCCCATGCCGCGTCTGCCTAAGGCATTATTCACTGATGTTTTCACTGTTTTCTTTGATATGCTTTCCTCTTATCATTGGGAAAATCGGATGTCAAATGCGATGATAAAAATGATCTGTTTTGATGTGACATTTCGCAAAAACCTTTGTGCTAAATTTTGTAGTGTGAATAATGTTCACTCTTGATATAGTGTGTCTAGGCTCTATAATGATATTTCACCCGGATAATTATGATACGAGGGCATCAACATGACGTCAGAGAACCCATGGCCTAAACGCTTACGTCACCAATCACATTCATACTAAATTATTAATTAAATGATGAAAATTATTGCATACAAAACACCATAATATCTGATAGGCTCCATGATGGTGGTACCGCATGTCCTGGCTGTAACAACCATTATTTTAATATCAATAATAATAAATCCACAATTTACTGATATTATGTCAAAAATAAAAACCGGTTAAGATTATTTATTATGATAAAAAGATTATCTGTATCCGTAATTATAATTGGCCCATGCCGATTTTGAGACGAAAAATAAATAGTATGTGGACATTTTGGCAGTAATGGGTGTAATATGAGTACCGTATCTAGTACACTGGAAATATTACCGTACTTAATATTTGCATGTAGAATACCGCAGTTTATTTGAGGTCTCTTAAGCAGATATTATAGTTGTGGTACCGTAGGCCTACTTCGCATTGAAAGATTGTAAAATTGATAGTAAATATTTATAATTAATACTGTACAGTAGTACGAATGTTTAATAAATTCAGTTCAATGCCACTGACCTTTTTACTTTATTAACAATGCACACGCAATAATTTACTGTAGGCTGTACAAAAATAATCAATCATTATTAAAATAGGTATAATGGTATTTTGATGCCTATAGACTCGATTAAATAAAAAACTGCAGGTTAGAAATAGGCTTACTTTACTCTCTTGTTATCTATTGTGACTTAGGCCTAGTTTTAAATAATTATTTAATAATAATAAACGTGGTTAATAATAACCCCAGAAATTGAACTAAAAATTTGTTCTATGCAATCAATGCTCATTTGCTTCTCAATTGAAAGCTACAAACTTCAAATAAATATTTACCGTAAATAATGAAGGTAAACATATAGACAGTATTCAGTAATTTTTCATATTTTAGGCCTATTGTAGTAGAGTAACGCCCTTCGGAAAAGCAGTATCTGGCGCCAAGAAAGCATCCCTCCCCACCCCCCACCCAAAAAAAAAAAAACGTATTAAGCCTAGTCCTGACATATAAATAGGCCTATTAAATATGGCACGATATATGACAGCTAGTCTATCCCAGTAACGACTAAATATTTTCACAATATTACATCATTTCAATTAGAATTAGGCCTATTGGTAGTTGTTCATTCGTCTTCGAAATTTACTGCACATAGGCCTTATTCCCATCACCATTTAAACTTAGCTTAGGCCTACTGACAATTTGTAGTTAGGCCTTGTGTCGACAGATCACGAGGCAAACCGGTATACAATTATGAAGGCTTATGAAGTGTGCAGTTTTTCAGACATGGTGATTACCCTTCTTTTTGTAGCGCATATTCACACGGTTTGTAATACATAGTAAATGAAAACAGGCAATTAATGTACATCCTTCTGCTGATGACAGTGTTATTGAGATGAACACTTTCAAGAATGATCGTGATGAATATCACAACTTAAGCTCAAGGTCTTACGGCAGATGGATTATTGTTCCGTATTTTCGTTACTTAGGCCAATATTAAATTTGCAAATATGAATATGATAGACGCATCTCTATATCAGTTTCCATCGAGCAGCAGTAGTGGACTTATTTAGCACGTTCAGGCTAAGACTTCGCGCTCATAATACAGTACTGCAGTGCATTTAAAACGTATAACAGTATACTGAGGCCTAGTATATGGCATTGAAAATCGATAAAATGTTTAATTTCAGCTGTTTATTTTATTAAACAGTCGTGTTTTATTTAAGGCTGTTATTTTGTTGGGAAAAATTGATTTTATTTATTTTAATTTAATGTAGACCTATGTTGTATATAAACCATGTCGTGTTTCTAAAATCAGTTGGAAAATACTTGAAACCTTAGGAGCTGTCTAGGCCCCATTGAGTACATTTAATTTAATGGTGTTAGTCTCATGGTTGTGTGATTCATCACTTCTCACAGCTGACACAAAGTTGTTACACAACATTCGAACATTAATTGCCACAATTTACTCACCGTGGATGTAAACTCGGAAAAGAGTATTCATAGCAAATTATTATGTCTTACCATGGGTGTATAAAATTGAGGCCTACATTTTCTTTTTCCTATATCCATTGCCATGTGAAAGCATGTAAACACAACATGTCAAATCATCTTGCCAATGCATTCACCGGCCATGTCACCGTCTGAACACAACGACCGTTCGATGTCCATGAATATTGGACGTTCACTATAATAATGTGTTTTATGATTTTGCCGGACAGACGATAAAACGATCTTCACGGATCTGTAATACCGCTGCATAAACATGAATAAATTATATCGCCGGCCACCGTATAGTTTCTGTTTAATTTTTTTTTTTTTTTATGCACGGGTATGATTATAGTTTTCTTCTGTAAAGTAGGCATATTAAATCATACATGCATGCCTTTTGATCATTACGGTATGCGATCCTATGTTCCACAGAATTAATCCATTGGGCACAATTTATATCTAAAATATAATATTATTAATCTGAGTTGAAGAAAAGAAATAAGTTTAGGATATGTTTTATACTGTCTATCTGCATCGAAGATAAACTCGAGTTATTGATTTTTAAACCCAAAACCACATCAATAATTTCATCAGTTTCTATGCGCATAACTATAATATCCTCATTTACTTTCTGTTCCATGATCGCACATTCAAGATCAATTGTAGTGATTATGGTTATGACTCCAACTGCGATAAAATACTGAAATTATAATATCTACTGTAGGGCACCGGTTATTTCTGGGGTTTTCAATCCTGTTTTTGAAATCTTGACGCAGCATGCCTCCTTCCGAGTGAGAACGATTAGTATACAACATCGCTTGAAACGCTCATCACATTTACACTCTTAATTTATGGTACAGGTTCATAGTTCTAGTCTATTATATGTTGTAAATTCTAAATTCTACGCAAGAATATCATTGAACCGTTTGAATTAATTAACGGTTATGTTGTTCACAAGCTATAATATAGCATATGCAGTTGCATTGCCTGTATGCTGTATGCAGCATCATTATTTCATTATATAGGCTACTGGTATATATATATATAGGCCTATATATATATACATACACACATATACATATATATATATATACACAGATATACATACACATATATACATAGGCCTATATACATACACATACA